TCAGCGGGAGTGTGGGCGGCGGTGGTTCGTCCTCGAGGCCGACCTCGCGAGGGGTGTTGGAGCCCCTCCCTCTTCCACAGCAGCCGCATCATCATCATTTGTTTCCGGTGGGGGGGGAGTTGTCGGTGGGGTCGAGCGGCCCCGCGATCGGGGGGGGGAAACCCCCCCCTGTCGTGAATCGGGAGGAGGGGCGTCCAGAGAAACCGAGCCGCTCCGTCTCTCACGGTTCGCTGGTGGAAACGCATAGCACCGACGACGAATACGACGAGGACGACTACGAGGACGAGGAGGATGAAGGGGATGAGGAGGAGGGGGATGAGGAGGAGGGGGATGAGGAGAACGAATCCGACGGCTCCACCGATGAGGAGGATAGTGATGAGGATACGAACGTTAGCGAAGAGGACGAGGTTAGCGCCGGGGATCCCTCGGATAACGAGAGTGTCGTCTCCTCGAAACGGAAAGGGCATTCGTCGCGCAAAAGAGCCTCGGGAGGACGACACCGCGCTCGCCAGCGAGAAATCTGCCTCACCGTGAAGGTATCCCGTGAGGGGGATCGCAATGTAAAGTTATTTACGATTTATAGGGACACTTCGTTTTTGCATTTTGCTAAAGAAGTGATGTGGCGTTTTCGGTATGAGGAGCTCCCGGACTTTGATATGTACTGCATCGACGCCGCCGGGGATCACGTGGATATTGATCGGCGGCAGGATTTCGAAGGCCTCACCGCACCCTATTGGGCGCGGCTGAATCAAATGCATCAGGAGAATCAGCGGAATCACGCGGTAGAAAATTCCAACGCCTCCGAGCATTCCAGACCCTTGAACCACACCACGCATGTTAGGCATCCCACCGGGCAAGGGGGAGGGGGGGGAAATCGGGAGGATAGCGCGGATGATGGGCGTAGTACGGAGACGGTGATCCGTCTTTACGTGCGCGACTCGTGTAGTTATCGCCGGACCTATCCACAGCCGCAGGAATCCATCGGCGGGGTCGGTTCCTTCACGCATCCGTCTCGTTTCAGCACGGATCGGGGGAATATGGCGTCGGATTTTGCGATTAGCGCCGTGGAGGTGCGGCTCGCGAGCACCGAGGAGATGCCGAAACCCACGGAGCCGCGGCGGCGATCCGTCTCCGGCCCCGCCGCCCCGCACCTGCGGGATCGACTCCACAGCCGGGAGCACGCGGAGTTAGGCGATCTTAGCCATCTTCACAAAGCCGTGAGCGACGCCCATGCCGGCCTCAACGACACCTTAACGTGCTCGCCGTCCTCGCAAAAACGCCGCTCCTTGATGGAGGTGTTGAAGCGCGCGAATGCCGCCTCGCCGAGCAACTCCTTCAGAAGATGTGTGAATAATCAGCTGCAGTGGACGCGGATGGCGGTTTTAGGCAAAGGCTCCTTCGGGACCGTCTACGAAGGCATCACCACGGACGGGAAGCTCATGGCGGTGAAGGTGCAGGAGCTCCCGATGAACGACAACGCGGATGAGATTCGCGCGGTGCAATCGGAGATCAACCTGATGTGCACCATGACGCATAAAAACATCGTGGCGTACTACGGCTGTCAGGTGAACAATCTCGGCAACGGATCCCGCCAGATGGAGATTTTCTTAGAGCTTTGCCATGGCGGGACGCTCGCGCAGATGCGGCAGCGCTTTGAGCGGGCAAAGAAACCTTTCTCCATCTCCCTCGTGCGCTCCTACACACGTCAGATTCTCGAGGGCCTCTGTTACCTGCACAGCTGCAACGTCATGCATCGCGATATCAAGTGCGATAACGTCCTCATCTCCGCCACGGGCGAGGCCAAGCTGTCGGATTTCGGCTGCAGCAAACGTATCGGCGCCGCGACGATCGCCGTGCGTACGGATTTCGCGAAAGGAGGGGGAGGGGAAGGGCGTGGCAGGAACTCCGGGAGTTTCCCCAGCTCGGCGAGTGCGGCCGCGCACCATTCCATCGTCGGCTCCCCTCTTTTTATGGCGCCGGAGGTGCTTCAGGCGAGCGGGGCCGATGGCGGCGTCGGGGGGGGGAGTGGCGGCTACTCCATGGCGGCCGACATCTGGTCGGTGGGCTGCGTCGTGTTGGAGCTCCTCGGCCGGGAGCCGTGGATCGTCTCCGGGCGAAACATCTTCCAGCTGATGTTTCACATTTCACAGTCGAAAGGGCTCCCGAACGGGGTCCCCGCGCGTTGCCCGGCGGTGCTGTTGGATTTCTTCCACATGTGTTTTGAGCGCGACCCCACCCGGCGGTGGACCGCCGCGCAGCTCCTGAAGCACCCCTGGATGGTCTGCCCTGAGAGCGAGCTCGAGGAGGTCCCAGCGGATGAGGCTGCGGGAAAATGAAAGGAAAAGAACGAACGATCCCCTCCCCCCCGCCTCCCTCTCCCTCTCCCTCCCATCCCCCTTTTCTTTGACGAAATTCCACTTAAAAAATAGACCTTCCTTTGTTCCTTTTCTGTGAAAAGGGCGAGGAAAAGAGGGGGGGAAGGGGGAGTTGAAGTATGCTTTTTTCCCTTCCTTGCCTTTTAAGTTTTATACTTAGGTGGTCGGGACGGGCGGGGGGGGGGGAGCTTGGCTTTCTTTTATTGGATCCCGGCGTTAAAATTTTTGGTGACACACTGTCTTCTTTATGCTTCGTGTTATTATTATTATTTATTGTCATTATAGTATTATTTTTCTCACGATCCCTTCTTTCATTTTTTTGAAAAATTATAAATGTGTCAATTTCCATTCCCCGCATCCATTTTGTAGAGAAACTATATCTACTAGACGAAAAAAAGCGTGTATTATAAGTTATTGAATTTATGAGGACCTCTCGAGGAGATATGTACGATGATGGAGAACTCAGAACGGCTCTAGACTATCTTTGTTCTACTTGGGTGAAGATATAGAGCCATCTTTTCTTGCTGGAAAGCCTTTTGTGCTTTTTTTGTTTAGTTACGCTCACTTCATCACCCTGCAACACGGTGAGGAGGATAAGCTTTCACAGAATGAGATCATCTACACTCTCACTCTGTAAGTGCAGCTCCTGAGAGGTATCGAGCATATAAGCAAGTTAATGATCTGAGTGAAAATCATGTTTAATTAATAAATATCAATCCCTATACCATATACGTGTAAAACGTAGTTATTTTATTTCAACAAAGTGGCAACCCCTGACCGAGCGTATTTTCTTCCCATTTTCTAACATTCAATCGGGGAAGGAATAATAAAAAGTTAACTCACACCCTCATTCTTATGAATTCAAATATGCGTGTAAACCTATTCAAATGCCAGCTTATTGAGTTGACTTTTATATATTCCCTTCACATTTCATGTTTTCCTATACTTGAATTCCCCACTTTATGTTTATGTCATTGCATGCATACTTCTCCCATCTACCCGTTTTTGAGGGCGAGTGCATTTTATTAATGAAGTTAATTATTCACCCAGAGGAGTCGGGCCGTATGCATGTAGTCTGATGTAACGAAACAGGTAACGAAATGGCGTACCATAGAGCACTACATGAATCATCACATTACTATATGTGTTCAAGGTTCTTTGCTCTTCTATTTATTCTACCAGTACGATCTATCACAACACTTTGGAGCAAAGATATCAGCAAAAAAAAAGAGGGAATCTGAAAGTCACCTCTCATGATTCCTTTTAATTATATTTGCATCTTGACACTAATATGTAAATGTGTTTTGTGTGCTGTGAAGATGGTAGTCTCGACTTTCATCTTTTCACCTTGCTGCTTTATATATATATAAATATATATATATATATATTGCGAACATTTATATTGCACACGATGCGCAAAAAATATACTATCCGGATAGCACGGGTTGGATATTGTGATTATGTAGTCTTAACGGTAGAAACCGACACAGAATGGAATAGGGTGCAAACAGCCGAAAAGTTTGTGCTTTTTTTGCTTGGGATTTCCTATCATCTACATTAGTGACTTATTTATAAAGCAATTCCCTCCCTTTTTCCCTCTAACAATCTTTTTATCATCGCCACTGAGCGCTCATCATTACTAGTTTTCCCCACATTGCGTGCTTTAGTAGTACGCTTAAATCGTATCCCAGTAGGCCACTCCATGTATAGCACGCTCTCAGCGGCTCATTACCCTAGGTGGGAAGAAAGGAAGTTAAGCGCGTGCAATCTTTTCTCTCCTGAGTTGTTCTGTGTGGCGATAGCTGTGGTAAGAAAAATAGGTGGCATAGAGAGGTGGTGGTGATGGGACCTCGATTGATGACCAGCAATCGTTCTACTTCATGATATATGCGGCGCCTTGCGGTTGGGCGGAGCTGCGGCAATTATGATCACTACTAAGGGGAGGGGGGGTCCGCCCTCTCGTTAATATCACAATACGCGTCACTTCAAGGGAATGTTCTACTTATAGACAACTTGAAAGGAATTGCATTTGAGATCCTTCCGCATTCTCGACCGATTTTGTTCCATTTTTCCAATCGCTAAGGTCGATATTGGACATGTTTTGCTTACTTTCTGCTTATAAATGTTTAAAATATGATTGCATCCGACATGTGAGGCATTCCGAAAAAAAGAGTCGGGAAATCGTGTGTGTCTCCCCTTTCATCGCTGTAATTTATTTATAGATGGAGGAATCCATTTTCACTTTCCAAAATGACCTGTCTTTCTCTTTCAAATCATATTCAACCTAAAGACGGAGAATCAGAACACAAGTTTAAAAGATACTCGATAGCGAAGAATAAAGCAAATAGAAAAATTTAAAGGATACATTTTCCTGACATCATAACAAAGGTTCGACGCTTTTGTTATTTCTATATAAAAAAAGTTGGTAGTATTACACCTTATCAGGCTCGTAAAGCAACTCCCCGGTTATCGCATAATTTTACATCCATACACAAAAAAATAGGAACCCTAGCGAAGGTGAGCCACAGTGGTCTGTTACCAACCCTGTCCGGAGTCTATTATTACTATTATTGATTATTATATATTTTATTTTTTTGATTACTACTATTATTATCATTATTATTTAATATTTTGTGATTAGTGCCGTTGTTGTTGCTGTTGCTGTTGTGTTCTTTTTATTATTATTATTATTATTATTTGTTTATTATATTGTATTTATTTGTGATTATTACCTTTTATTGCGTTGACTGTTTCCAACGATGAGTTCCACCAGTCACCCGGTTAGCGTCCCGCTCTACATCTGCGATGCCTACGCGTCGGAGCACTTCAAGGGCAACCAGACCGCCGTCTGCATGGTGCCGAGCTCCGTCTACTGCATGGAGTGGTCGGGGGTGAAGAGCCTCGAGGCGAGTTTCGGCCGCGGCGAGCCCGATCACACCACGCAGACGGAGGAGGAACGCGCCGCCGAGGCGCAGGCCTACGCGGACGAACGCGACGCGAAGATGGGCCGCGCGTTTCAGAGCATCGCGCGGGAGCTCAATGTGGGGGAGTGTGCCTTTGTCTACCGCATCCCCGCCGCGCGGGAGAAGGATATTCTCGACAAAATCCGCGTCAAGGTGAACGAGTTCGAGAAGGAATACGAGGAGCGGGTGCGGGAGGAGGAGAGCCGCCAGATGAATGCGCTCCTCTCCACTGAGGAGGAAGGAGGGGGCCGCGGGCTCGCGCAGTACGAGGCCCCCGCGGGGATGGTGCAAGGGGTGAGCTTTTCCATCACCAGCTTCGGCGCGAGCTTCTTGCAAACCCAGCAGATGTCGATGATCGCGAGTGGGAACACCGCGAACGTGCGGCGGCCGCGGCGGATGTACACCCAGTGGTTCGGCCTCCGCTGGTTCACCCCGATGCAGGAGCACGTGTTTTGCGGGCAGGCCGCGATCGCCGCGGCGCACACCATCTTCGAGTGTGCCCGTTTCTTCCACTTGAAGTCGAGCCGTCATTTAGTGAACAATGTCCCGGTGGAGTTCTTCATCCCAACCCAGACGGACGTCCTGTGCTTTGTGACACGGGCCGGGATCATCAGCGTGCGGTACAAGGAAACGAACGGGGCCGGCACCGGGGCCCATCACAACCCCCGTGAGGGCAACACCGCGGTGGAGACCTATGAGGTGCACTTCCCGGCCAACGAGGCCGTCTCCGTGCAGGAGATGCTCCCGAGCGGCTTTAAGGCGGGGCTCGCCGAGGCGCTTGGGCTCGCGAACGGCGCCGCGGATATCGACGACATCGCGCTGAGCGCCCCCTTGTCGCTCTACGTCGCGGTGCTCAAAAACGCCGCGGCGGTGCGGCATTGTCGGGTGCAAGAAGCCGCCCTGCGGGGGGTTTTCACCGGGCCCGACTTCACCACCGCGCGGCAGCAGCACCCGAGGCTGGCGACACCCCACGCCCTCGTCATTACCGCCGAGAATGACGGTGGCGAGGCTCAAATCCTCACGCGGGTGTTCACACCGTGGATTGGCGTCCTTGAGGACTCGGTTTCGAGTTTCGCGTACACGGCGTTGCTGCCGTTCTGGCTACGCCGCCTGAACGGGAGCTACAAGGTCGGCGATAAGCTAGTCTTCTACCAGGCGAGCAAGCGTGGGGGCTCGGTGCGGGGGATTATTATTGGCAAAAAGGCGGATCGCGTCGCGTTGATCGGCTCGGTGATTACCTTCCTGCGAGGAAACGCGATGTTTGACGTAGAAGATTAAAAGGTTAGGCCGTCCCGCACGGGTGTGGCGCGGTGTGAGTTGGGAGAAAAAAAGCAAAAGTGAAGAAGGGGGACCTCTACACATCTATTTATACACATGTTGCAATGCTTCCCTCTCGCCCGATGTATATCAACAACGGCGCCAACAAAACGTTCCATCAAGGCTCTCCAATCTGCACAAAAGTAAACGGGAAGAAATGGCATCTAAACATGGATAAGACAGAAGGGTTGAGATACCAAAGGTTGTATTATATATATATATATATATATATATATCGAAATATACACACAAACAGGGTATCTAAACGTCCTGGAGATGGGGGCATCTGTATGTAAAGCGAGAACGTGTGACCAATAACGTGGATAGGGAGGGAGGGGGGAGGTTTATAGGTGTGTAGCTCTTGATGTGGCACTATCGTACCCACGTTGAATTAAAGGCTGGGTCAAGAGCTCTTTCTTAATAATTAGGGGGTAAAAAAACAACGCTTTTGTTGAGATGCCTGAAGAATTATGTGAGCACTTTACGCATCTCTTCACGGCTCGAAAGTGAACAAAGGCTGACCCAATCGGAAGCTAAGAAGGGATGTGTATGCTTTCATAATTTGTTTTTTTACTATCCGATTCCCTAGTCGGTGTACATAAACAATAAAAAGAAAGAGAGAGAAGCGACCTCAAAGCAAAGGCAGGCAATATACATGGGGAAAGCAAACAAAAAAAACTTAATCCCATCTAGCCTCTTTTCTGATTTGTATTTCTCCATTGTGGAGGCAGTGCGATAAAAAAAGACAGCCATGAATAATACGTTGCGCTATCAATGATGGTGATATCTTTTACTATTGCCATTCAATTTATGTATGACGTTTATTATAATAAATGCCGTTGTCATTTACCACACTTGCTACTACTAAAGATTGATATAATTATTAAATGTGTTGACATGTTTGAAATTCAGAATGATGGCATCGCTTGCGAGGAAACTTCTGTAACTTTGCTTTTTCTTTCTGCACACTCACGACCCTTCACATTGTATTAGTACAGAAAATTCACGAAAGCCCGAGCAACACTGTGAATAGAACTAGGAAATGAAAATGTGTAATAACAAAAAATTGAGAAGATCTCCCCCCAGAAAAACAAAGAGGATACCCACAACTATAGTGATCTATCTACCTCTTTTTAAAAATTTGTGCTAAACATGCCAATTGGTTTAGCATTTGGATTAATTAAGGAAAAGGAAAGAATACATTCATCGTGGGGATCCCTTTTGATGTGTGTATTCTTAGTACCGAAAAAAAAATAAACTCCATTTAAAAAATTCGAAACCAAAAAACAAAGAATACAACAAATATGTTTCCTATCTCTTCATATGATTTCTCTCTCCGTTTGTGTGCATTTTCTCTTCGAAAATCTGAAGCGTAGTTGTCCTGGCGGAACGAATCAAACATTAGTGAAGGAAGACAAATTAACTGTTGTGAGAGAGTATCAGTTATATATATATATATATATATATATATGTTCCAGGAAAGGCGGTTATTTTTACACCTGTTTGTGAATTAATTAAGATATCAATCTGTATATAATATATGTTTGTGATAATAAAGAGGGAAAAATATTAATCGAGCTAGAATTAGTACCGGGCTAACTTTTTTATGATCGAGTATGGCTTTTTGGGGGGGGTTGTTTCAAATATCTCTCTTCATCCCTTTGGGTATTCATCCAGTAGGGCAAAGCGTAGTATGGAAAAATGGATTGGATGTGAAACAAATAAACCAAAGGTGTATTCTCTCTTCCAGGTCTAAGTCATGTAGTTTCTTTTATTCTTACTATTCACCTATGAGAGTGTCCAGATCTCTTGAGAAACCTACTGTTCTTTATATATACATATACACATACATATATATAATGTATCGTATTAGCGAAAAGCTTTTTCAAAAGATCCCCCCCAAAAAAAATAAAATAAAAGAACAAATGTTACACTTCAAACTACAAAGGATTGTGGTGATTGTGTGAATTCGCTTCAACTACAGACGCTCGCTTCAAAAATCAAACGAAGAAATATCGATTTATTGAGACTATGCGAACAAAAGGAGATTTAATAGGTTTAACAATCCTATTCGTTTGTTTAAATCTTTCATTTAATTCTTCATCTACAAAATTCTTGTTTTTCGCTTAGTCAGACAATCATACATACCATTTGCTCTCTTTATAGAATTGTATGCCACAGGTAGATATTCCATAATAATAATATAAATAGACAAGACATCATCTAAAATTTAATCCTAAGGAAGTGGTACGCAACTACCACTATAGTAAGATCAGAGGAGGCTAGGAGTTGAAGGGTCCAAAGGCCAACCCTAACTTCCATTACAATAAAAAGGTTTCTTCGCCAGGAGATATAACTTTCCAATCGGAGAGAAGGAACCTTTTCGAGCCTCCAAAGCATTCCGGCCCTGTCTATTCTTCTACAGCTTTATTGACAAAGCTGTTAGCCCCCATCTCCTGTAAGGATATCAACTCATCCAAACGCGTAAAAGCGGAGGGAGAGGAGAGGAGCAAAAAAGAGCGCAGACGCAGGGCAAATCGCTTCTTTGCTTCCTAGCACGCACCACGAGCGTGTAGATATCTCTCACATTAGCTATTGAACTCTAGAATTAAATATATATACATGGCGGCTAATAAGATTAGGGGAGGAAAGGGGGGTTTCTATCGGGGATTTCTCCCTCCTCCATTCGCCTTCCGATGGCTTCTTCTTTGTTGCCTTCTTTTAGCCGTGTTGAATGAGGTGTCGACGGCAGCTTCGATCGAGGGAAGTCTCAACCCCAGCGAGGAAAGCGACAATCCTCTTCTCACGGCGTTCCCTTCGCCGCCGTTGGAAGCCGACACCTCCTATGCTTCCCTTGACGACCTTCGCGCGCAACTTCCTACACGTGGCGCGGTTTTTTCCCCAGACGCCACCTCCCGCGCGGGGGAGGCAAAAATGGAGGAGGAGGAGTTGTTTTTCTCCGCCTGTTCCCCTCGTACGGGGTGCCCGCAGTCGTCGATGGTGTGGGCGAGTGGCGCGCTCGCGACGGCGGATCTTTTCACCCCCGGAAGCCTCCTCGTCGAGGCGAATCTCAGCCTTCGATTGAGTTTGTGTTGTGGGTATCAATTTCTCGGCCAGATGCTCACCGACGACGCCCTCTACGACGCGTTTCTCGAGGAGCTGCTGCAGGCCTCGCCGTTTCAGGTCCTCACCGCGGCGGAGCGCCGGGCGATGTTCCCGATCACCACCGCCGCGATCCTCTCGACGGTGGATCGGACGCTTTTTCGCCCCCCGGCCGCCCCGTCATCTCGGAAAAACGCGACCGACGCGGGGAACACCCCAGGGGCGGCCTCGCCTTGGCGGGAGGGGGAGGGGGATGTCCTCCTGCTGCACACCGGCCGTCTCTCGCCGGCGACGATGGCCCGGGTGGTCGGGCATGCCGCGGCGTTCCTGGACGTGGACGGGCCGACAACGGCCCCGACGGGCTCGATGGCGTCGTCGTTTT